GGGGTGAAACCCCTACCCCGGCTTGGGCCCCGGGGATCCCCGCGTGACAACCGTGGCTCTCGATGACGACGGACAAGATAAGATGCGACTGGGAGCTCTCCGAGTTTATTTGTGTTCTAGGGACATGGCGTTTGTCAATTCCTCTTGCAACCCTTGACTCAAGCTCCTGAGCATTCAGAACGGTTATGAACGTTGCATTCTCCACAACCACCATCCCCTTGGAATCTTTCTTTATATCCAGTTTTTGGAGCTTGGCATTTTTCGGGAGCAACACGTCTTTTAACGTATCTTGATACAGCTCAAGCATGTAAACCTTGAGTGTGAAGCTGAACTTGTTGTTGTCCCGCTTGAGGCCCCTTAAGAGCTCCTTGATTGCACCAAGAGTGAGGCCTGGACGATCTTGTCCGCCGTAAATTGTGAACGTCTTTCCCGAGCTCGTTTGGTCATATACGAAGATGCAGACGTTGTACTCACCTCAATGCAGAAAACCACATGAAGCAAACAGAGCGTATACACAGCATGTCCCACAAAGGTTGTCTTCGTCACATTCTCACCCACCGAATTCGTGCTTGCTAAGTCCGCGTCAACACGCAATGACATGTACAACAAAAAAATTCCCACGAGAAATGAAAGTTGAAAAAACATTCCATTAAAAAAAATCCTTCATATTTATAAATTAACATTCCAATGTTCGTCCAGTTCTAAAATTTTCAGTTTTATTTAATAATTTCCCGTCTAAATATGAGTTTTCCCATCCAATTATATCTATTTGTTCAAGATGGAAGGAAAGTCTGGATGAGTTTATGAAATATCTTAGATTGGATTAACCCATTTATGACTGAAAATCCTTACATAGAATGACAGTCCAATTAAAATATTTCATGAACTCATCCAGACTTTCATTCCATCTCTAGCATGCAGTTCAAATAAGAAGGGATACCCCATTCTTGGAATGAAAGTTTTCAAGTAAGACAGAAAATTTTAAAATTGGAATGACGTTTTTCAAGATGGAAAGAAAATTTAGAATTGAGAATGTAATTTACCTAAGAATGATTATTAAATTTTAGGAATTTTTTCTGTTGTCACAAAACTCCGTCGTCCTTGTCTTTGTTGGGCCGAGTATCTTGGATTTTTTCGAGATCGTCATCTCCTTCAAACTTCTTCCCACCTTGCTCTTTCCAATAAGTGATCGCCTTCTTCAGCTTCAAGACCTCCTTCGATTTGATGTTTCGGCTTGCTTCGTTCGTTATCGACCTGACACGCGTCTCATAGCCTAGCGAGCTATGGGTCTCCTCTAAGTTACTCTCTGCCCGCGAAATGTTGACAAACATCAGGGTCTTGGCATTCCCGCCAACAGAGTCACTCGTCAGCATTGTCAGCTTGAAGAGTCACGAAACTCCGTCGTCCTTGTCTTTGCTGGGCCGAGTATCTTGGATTTCTTCGAGATCGTCATCTTCTTCCAACGTCTTCTCAGCTTGCTCTTTCCAATAAGTGATCGTCTTCTTCAGCTTCAAGACCTCCTTCGACTAGATGTTTTGGTTTGCTTCGTTCGTTATCGACTCGACACGCGTCGCATAGCCTAGCGAGCTATGGGTCTCCTCTAAGTTAATCTCCGCCAGCGAAATGTTAACAAACATCAGGGTCTTGGCGTCCCCGCCTAGAGTGTCACTCATCAGCATTGTCAGGTTGTGGCTCCGATCCTGTCCGCCGAAAGTTGTGAACGTCTTTCCCGAGCTCGTTTGGTCGTATACGAAATGCAGACGTTGTACTCACCTCAATGCAGAAAACCACATGAAGCAAACACAGCGTGTACATAGCACGTCCCACGAAGGTTGTCTTCGTCGCATTCTCGCCCACCGAATTCGTGCTTGCTAAGTCCGCGTCAACGTGCAATGACATGCAGTGAACTGAAGAGTCACGAAACTCCGTCGTCCTTGTCTTTGCTGGGCCGAGTATCTTGGATTTGTTCGAGATCGTCATCTCCTTCAACCTTCTTCCCAGCTTGCTCTTTCCAACAAGTCATCGATTTCTTTAGCTTTAAGACCTCCTTCGACTGGATGCTCCGGCTTGCTTCGTTCGTTATTGACCCAACACGCGTCTCATAGCCTAGCAAGCTATGGGTCTCCTCTAGGTTACTCTCCGCCGGCGAAATGTTGACAAACATAAGGGTCTTGGCATTCCCGCCGAGAGAGTCACTCATCAACATTGTCAGTTTGAAGAGCCACGAAACTCCGTCGTCCTTGTTTTTGCTGGGCCGAGTATCTTGGATTTCTTCGAGATCGTCATCTCCTTCAAACTTCTTCCCAGCTTGCTTTTTCCAATAAGTGATCGCCTTCTTTAGCTTCAAGACCTCCTTCGACTGGATGTTTCGGCTTGCTTCCTTCGTTATCGACTCGACACGCGTCGCATAACCTAGCGAGCTATTTGTCTCCTCTAAGTTAATCTCCGCGAGCGAAATGTTGACAAACATCAGGGTCTTGGCGTTCCCGCCGAGAGTGTCACTCATCATCATTGTCAGCTTGTGGTTTCAATATGGAATATGCAGTTCTTTGGTGGCGAGCGTGGAGATGACATCTCCCATAGCGCTTAACGACTTGTTAATTGATTGTGCCTCCTTCAGTTGTTCACCAGCTGATCCCAACTTGTTCACTCGCTCTGAGCCCGCCACATCCACAAAGCTCAGCTTCACAAGAGCTTGTGTTTGCAGATTTGTGCTCTCGATGACGATGGAGAAGATAAGATGCTACAGGGAGCTCTCCGCGTTTATTTGCGTTCCAAAGACACATGGCGTTTGTCAATTCCTCTTGCAACCCTTCACTCAAGCTCCTGAGCATTCAGAACAATTATGAAAGTTACATTCTCCACAACCGCCATCCCCTTGGAATCTTTCTTGATATCGAGTTTTTGGCGCTTGGCATTTTTCGGGAGCAACAGGTCTTTTAACGTATTTTGATACAGCTCAAGCATGTAAACCTTGAGTGCGAAGCTGAACTTGTTGTTGTCCTGCTTCAGGCACTTGAAGAGTTCCTTGATGGCACCAAGAGTGAGGCCCGGACGATCCTGTCCGCCGTAAATTGTGAACGTGTTTCCCGAGTAATTTGACCGTATACGAAGATGCAGACGTTGTACTTAGCTCAATGCAGAAAACCGCATGAAGCAAACACAGCGTGTACACAACACGTCCTACGAAGGTTGTATTCGTCACATTCTCACCCACCGAATTCGTGCTTGCTAAGTCCGCGTCAACACGCAATGACATGTAGTGAGTTGAAGAGTCACGAAGCTCCGTCGTCCTTGTCTTTGCTGGCCCGAGTATCTTGGATTTCTTCGAGATCGTCATGTCCTTCAAACTTCTTCCCAACTTGCTCTTCCAATAAGTGACCATCTTCTTCAGCATCAAAACCTCCTTCGATTGGATGTTCCGTCTCGCTTCGTTCGTTATCGACCCGACACGCGTCTTATAGCCTAGCGAGCTATGGGTCTCCTCTACATTACTCTCCGCCGACGAAATGTTGACAAACATAAGGGTCTTGGCATTCTCGTCGAGGGAATCACTCTTCAACATTGTAAGCTTCTGGTTTCGATAGAGAATATGCGGTTCTTCGGTGGCGAGCGCGGAGATGAAATCTCCCAGACCGTGTAACGACTTGTTGATTGAGTGTGTGTCCTTCAGTTGTTCGCCAACTGATCCTGTCTTGTTCACTAGCTAGAAAAAAAAAAAAAAAAAAAAAAAAAAAAAAAAAAAAAAAAAAAAAAAAAAAAAAAAAAAAAAAAAAAAAAAAAACAGCAAAGGCCCATATATTTTAGGGGGTATCAGTCCGGTTCCTTATCACCGGCAAGCATGTAGTTGACATAAGACCCCCTAAGTGGAGTAAAGGGGAAGAAACAAAGGAGTAGAGAGGGAAGGGCGACAAGGGCCTTATTTTGGGGGTTCTAGCCGCCTAACAAGTGGGGATTACTTTGCTTGTGGACCTCCTCAAAAACCTCGGCCCGTCCCCTTTCATGCTCTCTTCTTTTTCCACATACATCGAAGTCGTGTTTAGAAAAGGAAAAGTACTTCTCTCTCAGACTGTTGGCGGATGTCTAATGAGGTAGACGGGCTCTGCGTGTGGGTGGGATGGAAAAGTACTTCTCTCTCAGACTGTTGGCGGAGGTCTGATGAGGTAGACGGGCTTTGTGTGTGGGTGGGATGTGTAATGTCTCTTTTCTTGCAATGAAGATGTAATTGTTGTTGGTGAGGAAAACTACTTCTTTCTCAGACTGCTGGCGGATGTCTGATGAGGTAGATGGACTCTGCGTGTGGGTGGGATGTGTAATGTCTCTTTCCTTGCAATGAAGATTTAATTGTTGTTGGTGCGTGAGGGTTACTGGTAACAACGTGACGAGCAGATGTGAGCTTCTGTTGGACGCAAGTCGGTGGCTTAGGGACAGGACCACCTGTACGACGACTATAATGCTTTGGACAGCTAGTTCCCTTTCGTGGTTTCGAGTTTCGGCATGCGGCAGGCGCGACGTTTCAAGTTGGGAACGGCCCATGTCGAAAACTCTTCGCTGACACATGTCGAAAAGATTTGGAAAAAAAAATCTCGACAAATGGTGTGGCGATGCAGAAATGTCGAAAAATTGCGACGATGGTGTGCCGAGTCCCTTAGTCTTTGCATCATCCATCTATTCTTTTTTTAACTTTTTTGAAACCGGATCTTTTTTAAACCTTTTTGAAACCCGACCGTTTTAAAACTTCTCTGACCATTTAAATCCGTTGGAGATACGAGCGGTGTCTATAAAAAGTTGGGACGTAATCAGCGCGAGCTGATCACAAGAAGGAATAAGTGCACCGTCATCATCTACTAACTGATCAAAATCCCTAAGACCCTGACACGACACTGACTGTCCAGAGATTATAGTCGTCGTACAGTGGGTCCTGTCCCGAAACCACCTACTCACGTCCAGCAGAAGCTCACATCTGCTCGCCACGTTGTTACCAGTAACCCTCTCGCACCAACAACAATTAGATCTTCATTGCAAGGAAAGAGACATTACATATCCCACCCACACAGAGCCTGTCTACCTCATCAGACATCCACCAACAGTCTGAGAGAGAAACGGTTTTCCTCACCGACAACAATAAGATCTTCATTACAAGGAAAGAGACATTACACATCCCACTCACACGCAAAACCCGTCTACCTTATCAGACATCCGCCAGGAGTCTGAGAGAGAAGCAGTTTTCCTCACCAAGAACAATTAGATCTTCATTGCAAGGAAAGAGACATTACACATCCCACCCACACGCAGAGTCTGTCTACCTCATCAGACATCCGCCAGCAGTCTGAGATAAAAACAGCTTTCCTTACCTACAACAATTAGATCTTCATTGAAAGGAAAGAGATATTACACATCCCACCCACACGCAGAGCCTGTCTACCTCATCAGACATCCGCCAACAGTCTAAGAGAGAAGTACTTTTCCTTTCTCTAATGACGACTGTGATGCATGCCCATGTTTCCTTGCAGCATACTTGTCTGTGGCAGTCCACCTGCAATGGAAAGGCCACATAACTGACAACTGACCCCTCCTTAACTGACCCTGCGCAAAACAATAACCAGTGCTCACATGACCAACCCCAAACATTGAAAAAGAAACTACATTCTGGCGATGAAGGAAAAAAGGACAGAAGTCACCTCTTGATCTTCTTCCGGTTCTTTTGGTCATGCCGGAAACACCTGCAATGGAAACAACCTATCGTTGTGGTACAGACAGCCAACTGACTGTGCTTTCTGCTCCTGACACCTGCAATCGAACGACCTCAGCCGTCTTCCCATACATAGACAACCGACTGTTCCTTAACTGCCGCCACAATAAGCAATAAGTGCAGTGCTCCCGTGACAGACCCCAAACAATAAAGAAACTTCATTCCGTTGATGACGGAAGGGCAGACCTCAGTCTTCTTCTTCTAGTTCTTCTCGTCATTCCTGAAACACCTGCGATGGAAACACTAAACGCTTCCCCTACACAGAGCCAACTCACTACTCCAAACACCTGCAACAAAAGCACCTCACCATTCTCCTATACATAGACGACAAACCGATCCTAACTGATGTCGCACTGAACAATACGTACTGCTCCAATAAAACTTAGCTGCATCCCGGGTGGTGGAGGACGGAAGTCGGCTCTTCTTCTGGTTCTTCTACTCATGCCGGATTTCTTGAAATGATCACTTTACTGAAGATAGTGCTGCTGAATCAGCGGTCTATACCGAAGATCAATAGAAAGAAAAAGAGCTACCTGATTCATTGTTGCATCGCACAAAGCAAGGATGACACTTACCTCAGTGCAGAAAACCACATGAAGCATACAGAGCGTGTACACAACACGTCCCACGAAGGTTGTCTTCGTCGCATTCTCACCCGTGCTTGCTAAGTCCGCGTCAACACGCAATGATATGCAGTTAGCTGAAGAGTCACGAAACTCCGTCGTCCTTGTCTTTGCTGGGCCGAGTATCTTGGATTTCTTCGAGATCGTCATCTCCTTCAAACTTCTTCCCAGGTTGCTCTTTCCAATAAGTGATCGCCTTCTTCAACTTCAAGACCTCCTTCGACTGGATGTTCCGGCTTGCTTCGTTCATTATCGACCCGACACGCCTCGCATAGCCTAGCGGCCTATGGGTCTCCTCTAAGTTACTCTCCGCCGGCGAAATGTTGACAAACATCAAGGTTTAGGCGTTCTCGCGGAGAGAGTCACTCATCAGCATTGTCATCTTGTGGTTTCAATACGCAATATGCGGTTCTTCGGTGGCGAGCGTGGAGATGACATCTCCCAGAGCGCTTAACGACTTGTTAATTGAATGTGCCTCCTCTAGTTGTTCGCCAGCTGATCTCGACTTGTTCACTCGCTAGGGGGGGGGGGGGGGGGGGGGAACCAGCAAAGGCTCATCTATTCTGGGGGGCATCAGTCCGGTTCCTTATCACCGGCAAGCATCTAGTTCACACAAGACCCCCCAAGCGGAGTAGAGGGGAAGAAACAAAGGAGTAGAAAGGGAAGGGCGACAAGGGCCTTATTTTTGGGGCGCTAGCCGCCTAACGAGTGGGGATTACTTGGCTTGTGGACCTCCTCAAAAACCTCGGCCCGTCCCTTTTCATGCTCTCTCCTTTTTCCACATGGATCGTAGTCGTCATTAGAGAAAGAAAAAATATTTCTCTCTCAGACTGCTGGCGGATGTCTAATGAGGTAGACGGGCTCTGCGTGTGGGTGGGATGAAAAAGTACTTCTCTCTTAGACTACTGGCGGATGGATGTGTGATGAGGTAGACGGGCTCTGCATGTGGGTGGGATGTGTAAATTAAATGTCTATTTCCTTGCAATGAAGATGTAATTGTTGTTGGTGAGGAAAACTGTTTCTCTCTCAGACTGCTGGCGGATGTCTGATGAGGTAGACGGGCTCTACGTGTGGGTGGGATGTGTATTGTCTCTTTACTTGCAATGAAGATCTAATTGTTGTTGGTGCGAGAGGGTTACTAGTAACAACGTGGCGAGCAGATGTGAGCTTCTGCTGGACGTCAGTCGGTGGTTTAAGGACAGGACCCACTGTACGACGACTATAATACTTTGGACAGTTAGTTCCCTTTCGTGGTTTCGAGTTTCGGCCTGCTGCAGGC